AACAAAAATTTAATAAAATACTTCGCTGGGCGCAGCTTGATACGACTGCAGAGGTCGAACCCTGAACAGTTGGGGCAGTTATGGACACAACATTCAAGCTTGATACAGCTCTGAATTTGGATTGTGATTAAATATTTGACACAGCATAGGTTCCTGACACAGAAAGAATGTGGTCTAAGAACTTGAATTTTTTTAATTTACCTATTATGGTCCAATGTCCAAAATCAAAATACATGGTTAGATTCAGCATATCAAAGAACCCCATATATTCAATTTTTGTTGAAATAAAACAAAGTTTAATTTTGGACCCCAACTTGGACAAACTTGAAAACTGGGCCCATAATCAAAAATCTAAACACATGTTTAGATTCAGCATATCAAAGAACCCCAGGAATTCAATTTTTGTTAACATCAAACTAAGTTTAATTTTGGACCCTTTGGACCTTAATGTAGACCAATTGAAAAAACGGGACCCAAAATTAAAAATCTAAATACATGGTTAGATTTGGAATATCAAAGAACCCCAATAATTCAATTTTTGATGAAATCAAACAAAGTTTAATTTTGGACCCTTTTGACCTCAATATGAACCAATTTGATAGCGGGGCCAACATATAAAAAATCTAAATACATGGTAAGATTCAGCATATCAAAGAACCCCATATATTCAATTTTTGTTGAAATCAAACTAAGTTTAATTTTGGACCCCAACTTGGACCAACTTGAAAACTGGGCCCATAATCAAAAATCTAAACACATGTTTAGATTCAGCATATCAAAGAACCCCAAGAATTCAATTTTTGTTAAAATCAAACTAAGTTTAATTTTGGACCCTTTGGACCTAAATGAAGACCAATTTAAAAAAACCGGACCATAAATTAAAAATCTAAAAACACAGTAAGTTTTGGCATATCAAAGAACCCCAATAATTCAATTTTTGATGAAATCAAACAAAGTTTAATTTTGGACCCTTTTGACCTCAATATGAACCATTTTGATAGCGGGGTCCACAAATAAAAAATCTAAATACATGGTTAGATTCAGCATATCAAAGAACCCCATATATTCAATTTTTGTTGAAATCAAACAAAGTTTAATTTTGGACCACAATTTGGACCAACTTGAAAACTGGGCCAAAAATCTAAAATCTAAATACATTTTTAGATACAGCATATCAAAGAACCCCATATATTCAATTTTTGTTGAAATCAAACAAAGTTTAATTTTGGACCCCAACTTGGACAAACTTGAAAACTGGGCCCATAATCAAAAATCTAAACGCATGTTTAGATTCAGCATATCAAAGAACCCCAAGAATTCAATTTTAGTTCAAATCAAATTAAGTTTAATTTTGGACCCTTTGGACCTTAATGTAGACCAATTTAAAAAACAGGACCCAAAATTAAAAATCTAAATACACGGTTAGATTTGGCATATCAAAGAACCCCAACAATTCAATTTTTGATGAAATCAAACGAAGTTTAATTTTGGACCCTTTTGACCTCAATATTAACCAATTTGATAGCGGGGTCCACAAATAAAAAATCTAAATACATGGTTAGAGTCAGCATATCAAAGAACCACAAGAATTCAATTTTAGTTCAAATCAAACTAAGTTTAATTTTGGACCCTTTGGACCTTAATGTAGACCAATTTAAAAAACAGGACCCAAAATTAAAAATCTAAATACACGGTTAGATTTGGCATATCAAAGAACCCCAATAATTCAATTTTTGATGAAATCAAACGAAGTTTAATTTTGGACCCTTTTGACCTCAATATTAACCAATTTGATAGCGGGGTCCACAAATAAAAAATCTAAATACATGGTTAGATTCAGCATATCAAAGAACCCCATATATTCAATTTTTGTGAAAATCAAACAAAGTTTAATTTTGGACCCTTTGGACCTTAATGTAAACCAATTTGAAAACTGGTCCGAGTACACAGTTATTTCGTAGTGCATTTCTTTTAGACAATAAATGAAAATAAAAAAAATCCCACCTGCGCTTTCTCAATAATATTTTTACAGTGTGTTGTACTACTTTTGGGACAAATTATATCAAAGTTATAGAAAACTTCATCGGCTCTTACTCAAAATATGGACAATTCTATGTTAAGGGGGTCTTGAAATCTTTTGACAGCTTCCGAAGTGCTAATTTTTAACCTTTTTCAGCTGGACCAAATCACTACTTTACTTTACAATTCATGACCCAAATTTTTTTACAGTGTAATTTCATCCCCCTACTTGCTATTTGAGGCATAAAACATGAAGAAATATATTTGGAAGGGGTACTAAAAAAATTGGCAAGCAACACACTGTCCACACTAGGGACTTTATTCGTGGACAACGAAAATCAAAGGACGGTAACTGTGTACTCGGACCTAATAGGATAGAAAAATTTGACCAATCTTAATAAAACTTGGTATGACCAAAGCTTAATAAATTATGAGACTGCTGACAAAGTTTCATGGCAAAAGGATATATATTATAGACAATATGATAAATTCTATATTCAACTTCGCGTGTTAAATTTTGACGTTAAAATTGAAAAATTTCAACTATCAACATTTGGGGCTTTAAAAATTAAAATATTGCCAAAAAATACATTTTAAATGCCTTAATATATGACATTTTATGTATTTAAAGCAATAGAATACTCATTTGATTTATCAGACTTATCACAATTATTTAAAAGTCAAATTTATATGAGCCTGTGCCAAAAAATGGAGGTTTTCCAATGAAGGGGGGCCTTACATGAAGATGTAATATTTTCCAGCAATTTTAAATTTGTGGAGTTTTTTGGTTATAAATAATCCTTAAATATGTATTAAATGTACTTTAAATGGAAAGAAAAATTACAAATAGCATACCATATTAGTATAAAAGGGTCTTAAGCTAAGTAAGACTGAAAATAATTTAGGGTCAATTTAGGCCGTAGCACATATTTACATTTAAAAATGCATACTGAAGCTATAGGAAATAAACAATTGTGGCTTTTTTATAATTTCTATACTCAGGTTACATGATACAATAAATCTGAGCATAAAAGGACTCCTGCATTCAACTTTTTTTGCAGACAGTATGGTCTGATACAAAGATTTTTCACTTTTTAGTGAAAAATTTGCATGCAATTTTAGCCTCAACAGGCTTATATTTGAACCACTTGCTATTTAACATAAGAAAAGAAAGATACTATGTGAAATGAAACAGGTACAAAAGACATTGTGAAGTGCTTTTAATACAAATTTAGTGAAATCTTTATTATGGACTTCAACTTTTATGTACCAAGGTCCTCACATTTAACTTGATCCAAACAGGCCGTTAGACAAGGGTCATTTATACAACACATTTTGCACATATTGTCTGAGATAATCTTATTTTCTGTAGATTCAGAGTTCACAAATGAGTAATACAACTGGGTTAAAGCATAGAAACACAAATATTGACACAGGAAAACCTGTCACATAGAAAGTCAGAATGCCACTTATGCATCAAAATTGAAAAAGCTTTGAAATGCTTATTTTGACCATATAATGCCAAAATGGGTAATTTTTGCAGAATTTCTATCAAATAAAAGTTTAAATCCTTTAGTTTCATGCTATTTGACAAATTGACACCATTAAATCATTCAGGGAAGTTGCCAAAGTACAGATTCAATATTTACTGATTTCGCCTCTTAGGTCCGAGTACACAGTTATTTCGTAGTGCATTTCTTTTAGACAATAAATGAAAATAAAAAAAATCCCACCTGCGCTTTCTCAATAATATTTTTACAGTGTGTTGTACTACTTTTGGGACAAATTATATCAAAATTATAGAAAACTTCATCGGCTCTTACTCAAAATATGGACAATTCTATGTTAAGGGGGTCTTGAAATCTTTTGACAGCTTCCGAAGTGCTAATTTTTAACCTTTTTCAGCTGGACCAAATCACTACTTTACTTTACAATTCATGACCCAAATTTTTTTACAGTGTAATTTCATCCCCCTACTTGCTATTTGAGGCATAAAACATGAAGAAATATATTTGGAAGGGGTACTAAAAAAATTGGCAAGCAACACACTGTCCACACTAGGGACTTTATTCGTGGACAACGAAAATCAAAGGACGGTAACTGTGTACTCGGACCAACTGGACCCAAAATTAAAAATCTAAATACACGTTTAGATTTGGCATAACAAATAAATAAATGTGGTCAAAGATTTTACAACCATAACTACCTATTTAAATTTACCATAGTGCTAACTTAATCTATTTGATAATAGAATTTAAAATATAGTGTCAAATCTTTCATATGGATTTTTTTGTAAAAAAAAAAGATGCAACATTTGCAGATATTTTTACTGGTCTTCCTTTATAAATATGCATTTCTTTAAACATAATTTAAAAGCAGTGTAAGGGAAGTAACCAAAACGTATTTGGATTACCTCCCTTACACTGTTTTAAATTATCTTAATTATTCATTAACCATTACTTTATACATAATTTAAAAGCAGTGTAAGGGAGATAATTTCAATGATGTATTTGATTTATCTCCCTTACACTGCTTTAAATTATGTTTTGTACTAAAGTATTTGTCCATTAACCAGGGCAATCTTGTTTTTCCCCCTAATTCCTAAACGGTTTGAGCCTTAACCCCCCAAAGCAAATCCTAACCATCCCTTTGTGGTATGGAAACTTGTAGTATAATTTCAGAGAGATCCATACACCGTTCCACAGTTATTGTCTGGAAACTAGAAAATGCTTATTTTTGGCCCCTTTTTGGCCCCTAATTCCTTAACTGTTGGTACTATAACCCCCAAAATCAATCCCCACCTTCCTTTTGTGGTATTGAACCTTATGGTAAAATTTCAAAGAGATCCATTCACTTAAACTAAAGTTAGAGTGCGAAAACCAATGTGTCTTTGGACGACGACGCCAACGTCATACCAATATACGACCGCAAAAATTTTTTGCGGTCGTATAAAAACAAAGAGTAATTTGATATATATCTACCCAGTTTTTCTGTCTCTGTCATTTTGACTCTTTTTTTCTTCGTAGGTCGATATGATCCAACATGAATCATTGTCAAAGTTGCTGAATATACAAAATTTTGTCGCTTTTTTCTCTTTTGCTCGTCCCTGTGAAATACAACATATAGTTTGAAATTATTTTAAAGATGCTTGTAACATCAATAATATCATTTACAGGTTAATGTTTAACAATATTAGCTCAATTGAGACATCAAAAATTTACCCTATGAAATTTTCAAATGAACTTTATGTTTGTGAGTTATTTTAGACATGTTTACACTTTTGGTATTTGGCTGAATACTGTCTCCAAATGACCCAAGATTTCTCTCTGAATAACCTCTGGATGTCAAGCAACATTCACTTTTTTATTATGACTACAAATTTTTTAAATTTTAGCTGTAAAAAACTAAGTCCATTTATCAGTAAATAGCAGAAAAATGAAAATAAATATTTTAAAAATTTGGCTCTGGATACTGTATTTGGTCATAAACAAGCTTCTGTCCAAATTTCCTAAGATTCCATGAAGGTTTGACAAAGTTATTGATGACTGAAAAACCTTAACCTCAGACTGAATCTAAATGGTAACTGTAAAAAAAAACTACCGTTAAGTCCATTTATCAGTAAAATACTGAAAAATGAAAATAAAATATTTTCAATTTTGCTCTGGATACTGTATTTTGGTCATAAACATGCTTTTGTCCAAATTTCATAAAATTCAATAAATGTTTGACAAGTAATTGATGTCTTAAAAAAACTTTAACCACAGACTGAACCTAAATGTTGACGCCGCTAATGCCTTTGAAAAGGTGCATAACTTTAGAACGATAAAAGTGACGCCACCAAAGTTCAAACTTGATCTGTGTTTTGTGGTAATAAGCATTGTGTATAAGTTTTATAACATTTGGTTGAGGCAAACTAAAGTTAGAGAACGAAACCAAAAATTTAGCAATTTTTCTATTTGTATTTGGGCATAACTCAAAAACAGTAAAAGTGACGCCACCAAAATTTAAACTTGATCTGTGTTTTGTGGTAATAAGCATTGTGTATAAGTTTCATAACATTTGATTGAGGCAAACCAAAACTAGAGAACAGAAACATAAAATTCAGCAATTTTTCAATTTGTAAAGGGCATAACTCAAGAACGGCAAAAGTGACGCCACCAAAATTCAAACTTGATCTGTGTTTTGTGGTAATAAGCATTGTGTATAAGTTTCATAACATTTGGTTGAGGCAAACTAAAGTTAGAGAACGGAAACCAATTTTGGGGCATAAAAATGAACAAATAGATGAATGGAATATTATACCCTCTCCCCCTAAACCACAATGGGCAATGGAATTATTTTTAAAATTAATTCCAAAAAGGAAAACCTTGGTTACTAAATATATATGTTTCTACTAACTTATTAATATGTTGACAGAGCTTCTCCAATTCCTCAAAATGTCCCTTTTCTACCATTCTATCAGCTTCATCAATCACCAAGCTGTGGATACGATCAATGTTTACCAAATATGGATCACCCTGAAATAACATTAATCACTCAATCACAAGGTTGTATTAAATCAATCTTTATCATCCTAAAAATAATATATCAAGATTAAAGTATATTGTCTGTGGATAGTGTTTTTATGTTTTAGCACATAATATAGAACTGAGTTTTTTCATCTATATATTTATAAGCAATATTGACATAAACAACATTTCTAACTTAAAGCTCTTTTGACTTATTTGAAAAATTAACTTATTTTCTTAGATATTAGTAAGGGGCTCTTGTATCTATAGAGCTGTTTTGCACTGATGCAACAAGCAATGACCTATCAAGCATGAGCTGTTTACCTGTAATATCCAATACTACATAAAACAAAAATATGTGTCCATAGACCATCATGCACATGTTCAGTGAATATGAAATCAGTGTCAAAATCGTAATTTGGGATATAATTCAGAAAGTTCACATCATAATGGGGTTTCAAGCTTGATGTGACCACAACTTCAATATAAACTATATATAGCTACCTTAACCAAACGTTAACCAGGTGTGACAGAAATACACACATTCCAGAAAAAATAATGCCCCCTTCTACCCTAGGCAGGGCAAATAAAGGAATTCATTCCCTTGCTTCATTCTGTATAAATGAAAAATTTCAGTATAACAGAATAACTGACTTCTCTTTTCCCATAAAATATTTACATTAACAACTTATCTAGTGTATTTAAATAACTATTATTACATACTCCTATTCACCCAGGCCAGGTGGACTAGTTACTCTATAGTTATCACAAACTGATAGTCTACCAGCTCTGACATATATCTGATCAATTCAACTAAAGTCAAAACTGTTTTTATGTATGACATTTTACACTTAAAACAGTTTTTGTATACTTTATGTTTATGTGTGAACATACCATTCGAAACAACTCCCACAATCTCCCTGGTGTAGCCACTAGAATCTCTGGTCGTCTCTTCAAAACTCGTTGTTGTTTCTGTAATGACATTCCTCCAACTAATGTTGCCACCTAAAATAAAAATCAATTTCCAATATCTTATCCTGAAGGTACTGATTGCAAAAGAGCAATGAGACAAAAAAAACTTGCATCAACATTGAGTTATTTCGATGTTCATTACTCTCAAATGATTAAATTAGAGGACTATAATAGACTTATAAGTTACTTGATATCCATAAATAACTCCTAAAGGACTGCAACATTTACCTGTAGATCGGTATATCCATAAATAACTCCTAAAGGACTGCAACATTTACCTATAGATCGGTATATCCATAAATAACTCCTAAAGGACTGCCACATTTACCTATAGATCGGTATATCCATAAATAACTCCTAAAGGACTGCGACATTTACCTGTAGATCGGTATATCCATAAATAACTCCTAAAGGACTGCGACATTTACCTATAGATCGGTATATCCATAAATAACTCCTAAAGGACTGCAACATTTACCTGTAGATCGGTATATCCATAAATAACTCCTAAAGGACTGCAACATTTACCTGTAGATCGGTATATCCATAAATAACACCTAAAGGACTGCGACATTTACCTATAGATCGGTATATCCATAAATAACTCCTAAAGGACTGCAACATTTACCTGTAGATCGGTATATCCATAAATAACTCCTAAAGGACTGCGACATGTACATGTAGATCGGTATATCTATAAATAACTCCTAAAGGACTGCGACATGTACCTGTAGATTGGTATATCCATAAATAACTCCTAAAGGACTGCGACATTTACCTGTAGATTGGTATATCCATAAATAACTCCTAAAGGACTGCAACATTTACCTGTAGATTGGTATATCCATAAATAACTCCTAAAGGACTGCGACATGTACCTGTAGATTGGTATATCCATAAATAACTCCTAAAGGACTGCGACATGTACCTGTAGATTGGTATATCCATAAATAACTCCTAAAGGACTGCGACATTTACCTGTAGATTGGTATATCCATAAATAACTCCCAAAGGACTGCGACATTTACCTGTAGATTGGTATATCCATAAATAACTCCTAAAGGACTGTGACATTTACCTATAGATTGGTATATCCATAAATAACTCCTAAAGGACTGCAACATTTACCTGTAGATTGGTATATCCATACATAACTCCTAAAGGACTGCGACAATTACCTGTAGATCAGTATATCCATAAATAACTCCTAAAGAACTGCGACATTTACCTGTAGATCAGTATATTTAAGAACAGCCAGTAAATGGTTTTTGACTTGAACTGCCAGTTCTCTTGTTGGTTCTAAAATCAGAGCCAATGGATGGTCATTTGTAGACGGTTTAATCTCTGTAATACCTAATGATGAAAAGTCTGCATCATCTACCACAGTCACACATCCCATCTCCTGTCAAAAGTACAATTATAAGATAATTTAATCTTGTACAGACAGGATCTTTTTATAGGTTTTGTAATTTTTGAAGAAGAAAAAACTTCTTGTATTTATCCAAACTATGTTTTAAAGGAGAAATGTAAATCAAGTATTTGTAGTCAATCCTTATGACTATTTTGTTCCCCTTAGGGCTGATCCAAAATTGATTGTGGGGGGATGGGAGGCACTCAAATTAATTATTTGTAGGTGATTGCATTTTCCTTACAATTTATATGAATTATTAGTAAAACAAGAATGTGTCCATAGTACATGGATGCCCCACTCACACTATCATTTCAATGTTCAGTGGACCGTGAAATTGGGGGCAAAACTCTAATTTTGCATTAAAATTAGAAAGATCATAGCATAGGGAACATGTGTACTAAGTTTCAAGTTGATTAGACTTCAACTTCATCAAAAACTACCTCGACCAAAAACTTTAACCTGAAGCGGGACAGATGGATGGACGGACGGACGAATGGATGGACGAACGGACGCACAGACCGAAAAACATAATGTTCCTAGGTGGGCATAATAAATATTTTATATATTATGGATGGTTAGGGTCTAATAAAAATGCCTCTGATGCATTTAATTCTGGAACAGCCCTCACTCATTTTTATTCAAGACCACATGTGTTTTTATCAATGATCCATAAATGATGTCAAAAGTGGAGATAAAGGGCAACATCAAATTTTTTTATTTTTTATGTTTGTTGAAAATACATGTACCTACTTCTGAATTAAATACCATTGTTATGATAATCAAGCTGTGATAGCTGTTACTATTTTTAATTTGAGGACATAATTCATTTTTCATTTTTATGATCTCTTATGAGCATCTAGTCCTCAGACAATTTTCCTCAACCTATATAATTTTAGAAACTCTATTCCAATTAATGCTTAAGGTTGATATCATTGCCTAGTGTAAGCTCTTGACATACTCTGCCAGACCTTTATGCAACTGTTTATGAAGAAAAAGGTTCTCTTATGTATATTCATTTCCATAAAAAATTCTCAAAAATTCAATAACCTGCTGGTCATCTGAATTCTCCTGCATTTCTTTGTCTTCTTCAGTAAAACTATCTTCAAAATCACTATCTTCATTTTCGTCAGCCAGACTCTCATCAGAATTGCTAGCTTCATTTTCTTCATCACTTTCCCACTCAAGTTCATCTTCACTATCACTATGGAAGTCTTCAGATTCATTACTTTCGTCTTCCTCAATTCCTTCCTCTAAATTTTCGTTTATACTTATTTCCTCTGTCTCATTAACTTTTTCATCACTATCAGTTTGTATATCTTTATTTATTTGCTCTTGTTTGTATTTCAATATTTTATGAATGACCGGTATTCCAAAGGCCAATGTCTTACCACTTCCCTGTAATCAGATGAAAACTGTAATAAACATGGATAACAAAAGAAACTCAACAATATGAAAACTGCAGGAGACTTTTCTAGATATTACAAACACTGTAAGGGTCAATATAAGTACAGGTAAATCTATTTAAATGCCTTACTTATAAACAAGAGTAACAAAAAATGCTTGTTTATGTCAGTTTAAAATGTCCATTTGGTAATTTAAAATAACTGGAGCACTTTGCAGTTCTTAGTAAGTTAGTTGATACTTTTCTGCCATTTGTTGGTTAATGCACATTAGTGCCTTTCCTTACATTTTGTTTATACCCAGAAAGTAAATTATTTTCTCATTATTCTTTATGCTGTGAATGGCTTGAATTTATTTAATAACACAACATTACTGGAAGCTTCGATAGCAATTATAAGGTGACCTTTCAAATAACTAACATTTATCTACTTTTAAAAGTCTTTTGCATACGAAATTGGGTAACTTTTAATGAAGAAACAATGTGATACTGTCACTTGTGTGCTTACATTTTGTTTTCAATCTTGATAAATAAATATTATCACTTTTAAAGGTTGATAATTCAAATACAGATATATTGTAACTCCCTGGAAAATACAACAGATTGAGAATCTTAATATTCTTGACAACAGTTTTCATCTGCTTGTACAATGTTGGTTAAATTCTGGGAATTCATTGTTTCTCAATTACACATTCAAACATTTAAGTCAGAGAAAGTATGTTGAATGACTTTTAATTTGACTCCTAAGGACGTAATCTAAAGGATTTAACTCACAGTTTCAGCAGCACCAACTATATCTAGTCTGTCTCTGATGGCATGGGGTAGTGTCAGTAACTGTATATGTGTAGGAGTGGTAAATTTATTATCACGTAAAGCCAGTAGTACCTCTTCTGGTACATATAAATCCTTCCATAAAACCATTTCTAAAATTGACAATATAAATACATAATGGTATATCTTTTTTATAATTAATAGCTTTTTTGTTTTTTTTCCTTTTTTTTTTATAAAGTAACATTTTTTTAACATGGTGTGTGAAACAAAAATTATGTAAGCATGTGCAGGGCTCACAAATCATCCCCCCCCCCAAAAAAAACAAATTAAGATAAAAAAAGTTAGAATAAAAAGATAAAATAACAAGTGCAGAATACAATTAGACAATATTAGTAAGGCAATATTCAAATGTGTCATTGTAACATGTGTTTATCATGCTATACTTTAACATATTTTTATTTTACTTTTATATTATGTTTGAAAATTAATTGTAATTATTCTGCTCATTTTTGGCGCTGTGATTGTTTGTTTGTATTTATCAAATACACTGTACATCTTTGCTAAATTTCTAATAATTTGTAAAGAATTTGGGGTAAATGTTATTTTCTGTAAAAATGAAGTCTTAACAGCAACTGCCAGACTTTTTTTTTTATATTTCTTTTTCAGTAGTAAAATTATGAACAACTTGGTAATTGAACATTTTTCTTGCTTTATTTATATAAAATCATCTACCGGTATTCAAGTTGACTGAATTTTTACCTTTGATAACATCTTTCTTATTAGGAATTACAGAAGCTGTTTTGTCGGTACTAGTTTCTTCAGAAGCTGTATCCGGTATGGTTTGTTTTAACTTCTTACTTGGAGAGTTATCTGAAATGTAAAAATCACATACAAAATATGTAATGTGTATCTTTGTGTACAATCTAAGAACTATAAGCTTTCTTGTATTACTTGCATCCTTTCGGCGTTCGTTATGGTTTAAATAAATTAACTGGTTTCTTGGATGATATCTGCTGACCATCATTCCTACACTGACTAAAAATATTAGCGGAGCAGTTTGAGAGAAGATATTTCAAAATGTATCACAGATACATTTGTTATCTGAATAGAATAAAATAAGAACTTTTTAAAGTTACTTCTACAATGTATATATGCTCCATATCAGTATGAAAAAAGAGGATCTTTATGATTCATATACTTTATATACTGTAAATTCAGAAATTATTGCGTGCATTTATTATTGCGATTTTGTCATTTTAGACCAAAATGCGATTTAATTTTTTGCGATATTGAGAAAAATCCTGTTTAATTCATATAAAAATTTCAAAATGCGAGTTTAAATTATTGCGATTATAACCCTGTCGCATTTTTCGCAATAATAAAAACATTGCAATAATTTCTGAATTTACAGTAGACTGATAATTTTTTGCATTTTACAGGTACAAATAAAAAGGAAATCAACACTTTCTACATGTATAAAAAGGACTCTTCATTCAAAATTCATGCTAGTTTGCTAGATACAAGTATTTACAAAGCAAATGATGAAATGTGGATTCAAATAGGCTCTAAAAGTTGACCTTATCTAATCAGATCACCACCAAATGAGGCATCTACATAGAAGGTCTTTCAACTTTAAGCAATCTAGCTTTTCTCCTTTCAAGAAAAGAAATTTGATAACTAACTGTTCAAAATCTAGAATGAGATTTTTCCAATTTGAAAAAAAAGGTTATTTCAATGAAGAACCTAAAACATACTTATTCAGCCAAGTCTGGCTAGGTGATCTTATATAGAAGCAGATGTATATGCTTAAATGTTTTGACAAGACAGAAAACAGATGCTTATACATGTAGCAAACTATGGCCCAAAAGGTAATGTTAGATATTCAATCATAAATAACTATGCAAAATGGTCCTTTTGATTCTGTTGACAGTTTTGACTTTTCAACTCTTTACACTACACTTCCACACAATCTTATCAAACAAAAGTTTTCCTATTTAATTAAAATGTATTTTGGTAAATCTGAATGCAAATATATTTGCTGCAACTCATTTAAATATAAAAAAGAAGATGTGGTATGATTGCCAATGAGACAACTCTCCACAAGAGACCAAATGACACAGAAATTAACAACTATAGGTCACCGTACGGCCTTCAACAATGAGCAAAGCCCATACCGCACAGTCAGCTATAAAAGGCCCTGAAATGACAATGTAAAACAATTGATGGAATATGGATTTGGTTTTGAATTTTAGTTGTACCTGTAGAAAACTTATTTCAAACTGTTAATGACGTCTTGACATTAAATCCATTGGATGTTGGATGTGTACTGATTGATATTTTAGTCTTAGATGCATGATTTTTTTTAGAAGGTGTTATTGGCTTTAAACTAGCTGTCAGTAACTGGGAGTACTCTCAGATAAGTACTTAGTGTCTTTTTGATGTGGGGATGTAGAAGTACCCTACCACTTCCATTGTGTGTTTTTGCTAGATGTATTTCTATTTGTATCCATCTGATGAGTGAAGCCTTTTTCAACTGATTTTTTATAGTTTGTTCTTATGTTGTACTGTTACACCACTGTCCCAGGTTAGGGGATGGTTGGCGCCTTCAAACTAGTTTAACCCGGCCACATTCTGTATGTGCCTGTCCCAAGTCAGGAGCCTGTAATTCAGCGCTTGTCGTTTGTTGCTGTGTAACATTTTTTTTTTTGTTCATTATTTTGTACATAAATTAGGCCGTTAGTTTTCTCGTTTGAATTGTTTTACATTTGTCATTTCGGGACCTTTTATAGCTGAATATGCAGTATGGGCTTTGCTCATTGTTGAAGACCGTACAGTGACCTATAGTTGTTAATTTTTGAGTCATTTGGTCTCTTGCGGAGAGTTGTCTCATTGGCAATCACACCACATCTTCTTATTCTTATAAAGAACATTTGGTTCAATTTGCCTACCTTCAGTTGTCTGCTTTCTCTTCTGTCCTTTCTTTTTCTTTCCCTGTTTGTTACTGTGTTCTTTCTTGTCCTCTTCTTCAATCTGTTGATTAACATCTACTATCTGAGAGTCAATGTGTATCAATTTCCCTTGTTTATTCTTCTTTAACTCTCCTTTTTTCTTCTTTTTTGTGTCTTGTTTTATATGCAATTCCTTTTGATCTCTTTTCAAATTCTTTTCATTAGTCAAGGACAATTCTCTTTTCCCTTTCTTTTTCTTTTCTTTCTTAATAGCTTTTGCTTCATTCTGTTTCTTAACTTCAGTTTCCTTTTCTATACAATCCTCATCTTTAGATTTCTGTTTCTAAAAAAGAACATATACACATTGTATATACTGTAAATTCAGAAATTATTGTGTGCATTTATTATTGCAATTTTTGAAGAGTTGGCAAAAATGAGAGATTAATTATTGCGATTTCAGGAAAATACTGCAAATGTATCAGATATCAGAATGTGAGTTCTTATCATTGAGATACTCATCCAGTCACATTATTCGCATTAATAAAAACCTCACAATAATTTCTGAATTGACAGTAATTAAGAGTGAAGTAATCTTAGTGTCACAGATTATTTTGTCTAAAATCCTTTGCTTCTCTTATTCTGTTAATTCAGAAACCTAGTTATTTTCAGATTATTAAGACCTCCTAGTTCTAAAATGCTAAATTAAACACAAATAAACTGTTAACACAGAGATATGTCTCTCCTATTTTGTAAGTTTGATAATGCAAATGTTGAAATTAAAATAGCAATACTTTAACATGTAAGTTATACAAATATTCAAAGTCAATGGACCATGACTGAACGTACATGGCTAAACAATCTGCATGGAAATGAGATGTGCCAATGCTCATACAACTGCATACCAAATACCATTGACTTATCATAAGTCATTCCCTTTAAACAAACCTAAACACAAACATTAACTTGTAAACTATGTAAAAGTTTCAAAGTCAATGAACCATGATGAGGGGTGGGGCTATATAATCTCCATGGAAACAAGACTTGCAAATGCCTATACGTTTGCATACCAAATATCATTGACTTAAAATTAGCGGTTCATCTTAAACTGATCTAACTAATACATGTAACCTAAGCAAAAATTTCAAAGTAAATAGACCATGAATGAGGGGGCGGGGCCAAATATTCTCCATGGAAATGAGATGTTCAGATGCTTATACAACTGCATACCAATTAACATTGGCCTACCACTAATGGTCCCCCTTAAACTGACCTAATCCAAACTAATATATTGTTGACACTGCTGCCGCCGCTGGAAACAGCATACATGTACCTATGTCTTGCTTTTTGACTCCGTCAAGGCGAGACAAAAACAACTTATTTGCCTTAATAGTTTGTGAATTTAATAAAGAAATATTTTTTTGTTTTTTGAAACATTTATATTTATTCGCCAAATAAAAAACAACCTGCTTTACTTCCAGTTGCAAATATGTCATGTATGTTTACAAAATGGTTTAGTACGAAAAAAGTTGTTATAATTAAGAACTCAACACAAGTACAATGTAGTTCTGAAGCCATTACATCACAATTATTGTAGATCATAGAAAGGCAAAGGGGAACTGTTATGTTTCCAGTTACCCAAATAACCTTCTTAAAATAATTATCAAATGAGAACTTCTGTTGATATCTCTTTTTGGCTGTTGCAACTTTAGACATAGTTTACTTGAATTTCCCAATAATTGAAATACCAAACAGTGTTTTAATAAAATTGAGAATGAAATGGGGAATATGTCAAAGAGACAACAACCCAACCAAAGAGCAGAAAATAGCCCAAGGCCACCAATGGGTCTTCAATACAGCGAGAAAATCCTGCACCCAGAATCAGGCTTTAGCTGGCCCCTAAGGCATTTTTCTGTACAATATTCTTGGTTTAAAGGATTCAATAGTCACCACTAATGATGGTATATTTGGAAAGGCAAATATCAAATCAATCATCTTAGCTATTGATCTTATTTCATATTTTCTTCTTTTCAAGTCAAGAAATTTCATGTTTGTAAATAGAAAAACAATAATTTCTTTCCAGACTAACTTGGAAGAGAAAGGCTATACTAAAAGTGTATCTGATTTCTTAATTATTCTTTTCATGTGGGAAAAAAAAAACATTCAAGGTTATTTTCTAATGGTTTTATACAATACATGTTGTATGTGTTTATTCCAATTGAGGTCCCTCAGGGGGCACTGACAAAGATACAATCATATTTTAAGTTATACAAACAATACAGTACAAGAATACAATGTATAATACCGGTGTGGTAATAACAAAAACAATACATGTATAAGAGGATTTTTTAAATGTTTAGTTCTCTGCAACAAGGATGTTTGCGGCAGTGTGACCCAAACATTTTGGTAAATTGATCGCTTAGCATGAGGAGACACCAAGGGACAGTATTATATGAATTGATGATTATGATACTTTGAATAAATTATTAAATTCTTATTTCTTTCTTTCTTTCATTATGTATGATCATTGCTTATGATTGATTCATGATTGGAACAATGTGAAAACTCTTTTTGATATCAACTTGCACATGTTCAGTACAAATAATCTTATTCTCTAATTCATAATCATCAAAAATAAAAATGCGCTCCACCTGGAGCAGCTGGATACGACTGCAGAGTTTGAACTCTGAACAGTTGGGGCAAGTATGGACACAATATTCAAGCATACATGTATAAGAAAAAAACATGAATTTATAAAAGTTGAATTTTGGACCCTTTTGCACCTTAATATGCACTAATTTGAAAACAGGGCCCAAAATTAAAAATCTGAATGCACAGTGCAGGCGCCTAGCTGCCTTTACGCAAAAAATCATTTGCTTGCACATTTTTTTCACAAAAAAAATAATTCTGAAATTAAATTACGAATGAGTAGGAAGACAGGTCAACCGGGCTAACTATCCAGCTGACACTCCAAGTCAGTATTGGAAGCGAGCCTTGTATTTCTCCTTTCTTGACTATTTCATTGAGGAACTCACAGGACGTTTACTGGATAACTCTGATCGTTTTCAAGGCCAGAACCTTATACCTGCACATTTGGAATCTTTGACCATTATACGAAACATTTAGACACGACTTGACGGACAATCAAGAAACCTTCAACTCTGAGGTAAAGAGATGGCAGAGACGCTGGTCGGTTCAGATGTTATAGAGTAGCCCAAATCTCTGATGTCGTCTCTAGCAGTGACTCAAAAGGAAACTATATCCTTCAATAGTTTGCAATCGTGTCAATCCTAGTTACAATGCCAGTAACTACATCAACTACTGAACGGTCATTTAGTGCATTACGGCGACTGAAAACTTATCTCCGTTCAACCATGGTATAGGACAGACTATCTTCGTTGGCGCTCACTCATGTTTACAGAGAAATGAATATCGACACCGAGAGAGTTCTGCGATCATTTGCCTTGGCAAAAAATAGATATATGGACTTTGGATATTAACTATACTTTAAGTCTTACATGCAGTATTAACATTTAATAATACAGGCTCAATACAATAACCTTGAAAACATCTTAGATTTATATCCCTCACTTATAAGTCAAGACTTAAAAGTCGCCGTTTGATTTCGTATTCCCATTGTCCGTTCGTCCAAAAGACTATTAATTCACCTTGGGTATCTGTGTCCCAAGTGACCTTCTACCGTTGTCGTAGAAACCCCTCCTTTGATTCAAAAATGACCTTAGTGAGAAACGCTACGGTCGGGTGTCTTGCAAGAAGCAGGACCTGCTCACCCTTCCGGAGCACTGGAGGTCGCCACATTTTTTTTTCAGGGTTCGTGATTTTTATATGTATTTAGTTTCAATATTGAATGTTTTTGTTTGTTCTTTTGTGTCTTATCTGTTCCCGGGTTGGTCATGTGTCCATTGATTGCCCTTCTATTGATAAACGCTTCGGTTGACTTGTCGACTTATCTTCTCGTTTTATAAAACTTATTTTATATTTGAAAACAACCATGTTAATAAGGAGTAATGTGAATTTCATAAGCATGGCATACCTGGAAAATGACCGAAAAATAATAATTTTCTGCATAAAAAGGTCCCAAAAATGTTTTCGCCTCTCTCCGCTCGACAATACAAGACTTATGCTTGCACTTTGTTTTAGGCCAGCTACTCCCCTGCAGTTAGATTTAGCATATCATAGAACCACAAGAATTCAGTTTGGGATGAAATCAAACAAAGTCTAATTTTGGACCCTTTGGACCTCAATGTAGACCTATTTAAAATGTCCAAATATCCAATATAGTAATACATGTGTACATGGGAAAAACCTTAAACAATTCAAGACTTTGAATTAATCCTCATTGAAATTGGTTAAAAGATTTGTATTTATTTTCAATTGAAGATTTCTTGCTGTTGTGCAATACTTTACTGTTGCGCAATACTTAGTAAATCTGTTTACAAACTAAATATAATAATTTACACACCCTGTTTGGTGTGTATCTCCTGTCATATCAGTATTTGTTGTTTCTTTAAATAGATCAGAAATAATTTATGTTAGAACCAGCTTAGCCAGTATTAGAAAAGCCTTGTTTTTGGTCCCTAATTGGCCTCTAGTTTCTTAAGATTAAAGCCACAACCCACAAAATCGACCCCAACCTTCTGTGTGCAGTATGGAACCTTGTGGTACAATTTCATAGAGATCCATAGACTAATACTTAAGTAATTGTCCATTAACCAGAAAAACCTTGTTTTCCCCCCTTTTTTTGCCCCTACATTTTTTTGTAATTCCTGAACTGTTTGGGCCATAACCCCCAAAGTCAATCCAAACCTTCCCTTTGTGGTATGGAACCTTGAATTGTGGTACAATTTTATGGAGATCCATACACTTATACACAAGTTAATGTCCGGAAACTAGAATAAACTGCTTCGCCGAGCGCAGCTGGATACGCCCGCAGAGGTCCAACCCTGAACAGTTGGGGCAAAAATGGACACAATATTTAAGCTTGATACAGGTCTAAATTTGGATTGTAACTAAATATTTGATATATTACAGGTTTCTGAATAAATGTAGTCAAAGAACTTGAAATTGGTTATATGAAAGATTTCTTGCTGTTGTGCAATATACTGTGCTGTTGCGCAATACTTAGTAAATCTGTTGTCAGACTATAAACAAATAAAATCTTATTAACTCGGAAACATAAAATTGAAAATTTATAAAAATCAAAAGGGAGCTTACAAAAATAGATATAAACAATTTACCAAAGTTTCATAAAAAATGCTGAAAGCATTTTTGAGTTATTGTCCGAAAACTGGAAAATCCCCCTTTTAGTAATGAATAAAACCCCATAAATCGGAAACGTATAGTCTGAAATTTATAAAATCAAAAGGGAGCTCATGTCGATAGAAATAAACAATTCACCAATGTTTCTTGCAAATTGGTGAAATTGTTTTTGAGTTATTGTCTGAAAACTGGAAAATCCCCCCTTTTTTAATGAATAAAACCCCAAAACTCAGAAACGTTAAATCCAAAATTTATAAAAAACAAAAGGGAGCTCATGTCAATAGATATGAACAATTCACAAAAGTTTCATGCAAATTGGTGAAATTTTTTTTGAGTTATTGTCTGAAAACTGGAAAATCCCCACTTTTTTAATGAATAAAACCCCAAAACTTGAAAACGGTAAATCCAAGTGTGAAAAAAGCGCAGACTCAAGGTGGAGTAGTTGGCCAAAAATTTCCCGAATACGTAGGCTTGATAAGGGATTCTGAGGTAGCCAAATCAGAAAATCGCTCCAGCCTCCAGACTCAAGTAGTCAAGAGTTAGAAATTATTATCCCAACAGGGATTAGTAAAAGTAAAAAGAGATTTGTGGAAGGGTGAAAATCAACCGTATAAACAAATTTACTGAAATTTCTAGCGCCCGTAGTCAGGATCGAACCGTCAGCATTCAACACTGAAGACATTAGTAGCCATTACACGGCATTAGGGAGTCGCATTAGGCCACGATCCCACAAGTTACGTCCCTTGAATTGTGAACCACGTTATAGTAACCTTTTTTGATTTTCCAGGGTTTCCAGACGTATAGTCTTTAATAAGTTCGTAATCCGTTAGTTCTTCTATTGAAATTAAAGAATCGAAATCATTTTGAGACAAGAGATTATAGTCAATTTTCACTGGTTTCCACTTTCCTTTGGTTTTCACGTGCATGGATGTCGCCATTTTTTTACTCTCTAAATGTAAACAAATCTCATGAAGACAATTACAATATGATAACTATTTTTTAACAATAGAAATATTTTTATTGTCTTTTTTATTTGGTATCAATTTCATACATCTATTCTATTCCTATTTTGTATTGTTTTGAGGTTAAAAAAGTAGTCTGGGATCCTTCCCACTGCCATTGACGAACGACACACAGTAGAAATTGAACAGGGACTCAGGTCAAAAACAACATAACTGGTTACACGAATACAAATCTTTTAAAGGTTTAGTTGATAGTTGAAGGTTCCAGATTATTTATTGTTGACGTTTTTTGTCTTGTTTCATTTTGCACCATAGAATCACTGACATTTCAATACAATGTAACGCTACTGTAGGAAAGAGAGAAATTTTGACACTAAAACATCACAATACACAAAGAAATTAGCAGAGAAGGTGATGATAATGAAACTTCCCTAGCTTCATTTGAAATTTACAGGTTGACACAACTCTCCAAACGGAGAATACTGAATGAATAGACAAATTATAGTTCTGAAAATGAGTAACTTATTTAATGCGGAGCTGTTATAGACGACTCTCACATTTGTGCATTTTTCCCAACATTTCCGATGTCATTTGATTAAGTCATTATGTCAATGTAAGAGTCGATACACGATCTTCTAACAAGTGCACTTTTCCTGGGAAAAAAATGATTTCACAAAACAAATATTAATAACACAAAGTCCTATAACATGTTTTTCGCTTAGTGAACCCAGGTCAACCAGGGCAGCTGTTCATTCATAAAACTGTAATTGGAAAGTCGTCTATTGTTCAATGAAGAAAGTACAAAGACGAGCTGCACGAAATGTAACCAACAGACATAGAAATAGATCAAGTGTCAGCAATATGACTACGGAATTAGGATGGAAAAGCCTACAAACAAGAAGAAAAGAAGCTCGACTCATCATGTGCTACAAAATAACAAACGACCTTGTAGCCACAGACAAGAGTAAATACCTACAAAAACCTACACGAAGCTCTAGCCAGACAGGACATCATACTTACCTTTACAGCCAGCCACCAAAGATTGCAGGAAATGGTCCTTCTTCGTAAACTGTCAAGGATTGGAACAAACTGCCTCCAGATATCGCTACATCAAAGTCTCATGAGATATTCAAGTCTCAGGTGACCAAAACTTCTAACAAAATCAATCAACAATTTGTTTTTAACCAGTTTTTAATCATGCGCAACTTGCCAGAATATTCATCATGTTGAATGTGGGCAGTATTTAGAAGAAGAAGAAGAAAAAGATGACATCATCTATGCTGACTGACCCAGGTCAATCAGTGTTACTCATTCATGAAAAGATAACAAGAATTTGGTCTATAGCCAAATCAAAGTTTCATGTTACCCGAAATTATTGAACAGAGGAGTTGTTTATTTTATCAATGTTCATAAAGTATAGAAGATATTTGTTTATGAATTGTGCCATGACCCTTTTTGAATAGTAAGTCATTATGAAATTGGGGTACTTTTCAACTAGAACGGTGTACTTTTTAAATAATTTCTTCCCTTCATTCATTATTCATAGCTAAACTAGAGTGAAAAAATGTTATTACAAATCATCACTTTATGTGAGTGACTGTCATGACCATGAAGATACAACTCTGGTATTTATCAAATTCTGGTCTTTGTTTCACTCCTATTAACAACAATTTTCCCCTTTACTTTAAAGTAGGTCCAATATTATAAGAAACATCAAGGGTTCTAATGCCAGTTATGGTAGTATGATTGCATCCAGGGCAGAACATTTTTGGGCCTGATCCTTATTCAATTGAAATTGAAGACACTTAATTTCTCAAGTGATGATTTTGTGAGTTCATCACATTTTAATCAGGTGTATCTTACATGAATGTCCAGATCATATCAATTACAAGTCATAGAGGAATGAGGTGTAATAGAATCAGCATAAAAGTAGTGTCAAAATGTTATAAAGAAAGAAAATTTCAAAGCTGACACTAAATTTTCAAAAAGGAAGATTCAGAAATCTCTTTAATTAGTGAGGCATGGAAAGTGTACTCAGTTTACACTTAGAATTATCATCATCTAATCATGTTGTAAATATGAAATGAAAGTCATGTCAGATTTTAAAGACAAATATATTTTAATCACTGTGACTAACTCTAAGCTTGAGTGGTTTTGTTCAAGAGCAGAAATTTGTAATATTTGTATGTAATCTATTTTACTATCTATTTAAATTGGTATTTAAAATTTTATCATACATGTGGGTTATGATGAATTATTTTGTGGATACATGTATGTACCAAATTGGTAAATTTGTGCTGAGGACTCACAGAACTAGTCCTAAAATTGGGGGGTTCTGGGGTTGGAGCCCCCCCTTTTTTTTAACGATCAATGCATTTGAATGGGGACATATAGTTGGACCCCCCCCCCCCCCCCCTCCCCTTTATCCTGGGTTGGGAATCCCCCCTTTTAAAAATGGCTGGATCCGCCCCTGCTCTATTATACAGGACATATTATAAATTCTCCTTGCTTAAGATTCAATGTACGTGTATTGATTTTTATTGCTACTATAGTTATGTTTTTATATTTATGATATAATGTGTTTTTTTATTTTCAGACACAAGAGATGCAGTCAAGCGAAACTGATTACAATTTTGACAATAACAACACCATTGACATGGATTTTTGTGCTAATATGGAAATACAAACTAAGAAGAGAAAATTTGAAATGACAACAGAAAATGTGACATCATCTATCATGTCAGGTTAGTAAGAGCATCAACTTAAACACACTAGAAAGACCAAAGTAAGAGAAAAGGTGAAAAGTTAATTTTACATTGTACATGCTTCCTTCAGATCAGTTAATCTAAAAATATTAGTGAAAACAAACACTAAATACAAATCACAGTTACAATAATCAACTCTGACGTGGAGAAAAAGTTGAGAATATGATAACAATATTATACAAGAATTCATTGTATTCAACATGTTAATGTTTCTTCTTGTTTAACTTCATTTTAAAAGTGAGAATAGGTTATACTTTAGAATTATTTTCTCCATAAACGAGAATAAAGGAAAATGCCTATAATTTTTAGGAAGACAGTTTGTTTTACTTCCAAGGAACAGTAGTACCTATGTCACAACTGATTGGAAACTGACGGGAACCTCATTATTCCTACCATTGAAAGGGGACACATTTGTGAATTTACAGAAATATGAACAAATAACAGTTGCTGATGGAAGCTACTTCATTGCAGATGATGCAGGAAATTACTCAAGATCTGTTACAGGTATGACTGAACGGACATGACTGTGTTGGAATTAGTAATGAAACTGTAGATATGAAACATAATGTCCATTGAAAATATTTCATGGTTGATTGAATAACTTATTATTGGTTGCTTATCATCATTTCTTCATTATATGAATTGATGTATTATACATGATATAAATGTGTTGCAGTTGCGTTTGTATGTAGATACATGCACAATTTTGAGTAATGGAAAACTTGTTTAATTGGTGGTACGCCAATGAATTCCTTCTGTAATAAAGTTGATAAGAAATGCACATCATCCAAATGAATAAAAATTAGTATGTGATGAAGTTGAATAATAATAGGTCTTTTTAAAGGAATATTGTAGAAAGATCAGTTTTCCACACTATTTTTCTTCGTCCTTGAAGAAATTGATTTGATATTTGGTGTATTGTTTTATCATGACAAGTTACAGATCAAGATCGAATTTTGTTACGGTCTGAGGATTTTGAGCAGAGTTATGGTCCTTGGACTTAGAAAATTCACTCAAATAATCAGTTTTCTGAACTTTTTTCGTCATGCTTGAAGATATTGATTTGATAATTGGTATATAGTTTTATCATGACAAGTTACAGATTAAGTTCGAATTTTGTTCCGGTCTGATGATTTTGTGCAGAGTTATGGTCCTTGGACATGGAAAATTCACTTAAATAATCAGTTTTCCACACTTTTTTTCATCATGCTTGAAGATATTGACTTGATATTTGTTATAAAGTTAACACCATGACAAATTATAGAACAAGTTAGCATTTTGTTACAGTACAATGAATTTTTAACCGGTAGGGACTATGTATTGCCATGCAATACTCTCAGAATGCTTGTTTTAACAGCACCGCTGCTGGTGGACTATCAGTCCCTGAGGGTATCATCAGCTCAGTAGTCAGTACTTCAGTACTGACATGATTTGTAACAAACCTTTCTAGAATTGCTGTTTATGAATTTTGAAAGGTTTCAACTCCCTCAGGCAAAGTTGACCTTAGATGGATTTGGTTATTTTATTAGGTCCTTTTGGTTATATAGCTCTTCAATTGTTTCGGTTTTTATACATCCTTGGCTTTCAAATATTCGAATTTGAGCGTTCCTGATGAAGATAAATCCAGAAAAGCGCTTTGGACACATGAAATTTAAAACGTGTTGTTTTCAATTTTCTATCTTTTTAAATCTCAGAATTACCAGTGTTCTCCCAAAGGACTTTTAAATAGCATAACAGGATTTGATATAGCACTGTTTCCCTAAAATTCAAGTTTATGATAACATGGTGCTATAAAATCCTGGGGAGAACATGGTTTTAACCTCAAGAATAACTGTATTGAATCACTAACAATGTGAAAATACATTGTGTATAATTTTAGAACTTTTTATGTACCTGCCAGTAAGTGCCCATTATTTCGTTAAGCCTGTAGAAACCAATTTGATTTTTTGGTATATAAGCATACAATGATGACTTGAAAATCAAGTCTGCTTTTTTTTCAGTTGACTGCATTTTGGTTGAGTTACTTAACAAAATTTTGTGAAAATAGTAATTGTTGGGATTTTTTGCTTTTATTAATGCCTGCAGATGTGGAGCTTGTAAAATTTTACATTCATCGAAATGCTAGATTTAAGAAAAGGAATATCTTGGTAGTGTAATGTTCCTTGTTTCGTTTCAGGTAAAGTTTTACACCTATGGAAGTACTGCATGTCAGAGAAAGACTACTTTGTTGCAGAATCTTTCTTGTTTACAAGTCCTCAGGTTTGTACATACTGTTAGTCTATAGATTAGGTTACAGAATCTTGTTTACAAGTCCTCAGGTTTGTACATACTGTTAGTCTATAGATTAGGTTACAGAATCTTGTTTACAAGTCCTCAGGTTTGTACATACTGTTAGTTTATAGATAAGGTAACAGAATCTTTCTTGTTTACAAGTCCTCAGGTTTGTACATACTGTTAGTCTATAGATTAGGTTACAGAATCTTGTTTACAAGTCCTCAGGTTTGTACATTCTGTTAGTCTATAGATTAGGTGAAAAAATCAATAAACTATCTGCTTATTCCTGCTTCTTGGATAAACAGTTTCTTTTATTTAAAGTGAGGCTAGGAATCCAATTTCTACTGAAAAAGTAAATATTTAAAAACATTCAATGCAGTGATCTGTCCATTTCTAGTGATCATTCCCTAAAAGGCAGTGATCTAGCTATTTCAAGTTCACATTCCTCACGTTTCAGTGATCTGTCCTTCTCTGATACATATTATCTACAGTACTGTGATCTGTCCTTCTCTGATACATATTATCTACAGTACTGTGATCTGTCTATTTCTGATATACACTCTCTTGAATACTATGATCTGTCAATTTCTTATGTTCACTCTCTACAATACAGTGATCTGTCCATTTCTGATATACACTCTCTACAACATCTGTCAGTCTCTGATGTATTCCCTTTTTTAGAAAGAAACTGAATTTTCAGTGCTTCAGCAGTTTGATTTACCCATTGGACAATGTAATGATTGACATGATTTGTCCATTGCTAGTGCATATTCCTTAAAATGCAACCACGAATATCATGCATCAAGTTATATTATTATACCTTACATATATGAAAAACAAATTCTATTGGGTAACACATTATCATATGACATGGAATAATTCAGTTAATTTTCATTTAAAGCAAGGAAAGACGGTCCAACGGCCCATAAAATATACACCTAGCAATGAAAATCCTATTATTCACCAGTGGATAACCTTTTGAGCTTCTTAATTTGTACATGAGTTATCTCCCTTTAAAAGGAAGTCACAGACGGAGTGAGTGAGTGAGACGTATGTAAACAAAATGGCAACGACCAGGTTAGAAGCCCATCAAGTGATAAGGAAATGAGATCAAACAAGGCTTGGTATTTATCTAGTGTTGAGAATATCTCTCATAAGCAGCCCATCAATATTTACAGAAAGAGTCTTCCTTTGTTCTTCATACGAGGATTCTTAGCGATTAAATAATTTTCTAACGTAAGCATTTTGACAATCTGTTAACCCAGTAAGACAAGTGCTTCTTCAATGATTCAAAAGGCCTCTCAGGGAAGTAACCTTTTAGGATTATCAATTTGATATTCACCTTTTCTGCTGGCCATAACTGTATATTGTCTGATAACTGTAACATAAGTGGTTTGTGAATCTGTTCATGTATGTCTTGCTTAATTACTGGTACGTGTACACAGAAAATTAAAAGACATAACAAACTATCACTGTTATATTTAACTTTTGGCTATTATTTTAAAAACTATTTTACAACACAAAAAAGTACCTATTAGGTACATTGTAGTAGTATTTATCAAATGATTAGAATTTAAGATAGAACCAAAAGCAAAATATTCCTGTGCTGAATGAGTGACACAATAACTTTATCAAATACAGTAGCTGAGCTTTACTTCATTTGATTCTTGATCATTATTTGTATTTCAGAGATGAAATGTTTTTGTCTTGTAGGATTTTTCAGTAGTTATCAATCATCTGTATACAAGTTGAAATGTTAGAGCATACCTGTGGCAGCTTTAAGTTAGAGCATACCTGTGGCAGCTTTAAGTTAGAGCATACCTGTGGCAGCTTTAAATGTGCAGTTGTGTGTTCATCCTTGAGAATAAAATGTGCTTACTGAAGATGTAAAGAGATGTTCTGTGACTGTAAATTGGTAATGTTTCATACTTTGTTTTATATATGAAAAGAAAATGGAGCATTATGTTTTTCTTACTAAAGATGTAAAGAGTTATGATATGACTGTTTAATGTAAAGAGCTGTGATGTAAAAGCTACTATATGACTGTTTGATGTAAAATTTTCAAACTTTGTGTTTAAAACTTATAAAAAAAATAGTGGCAGTTTACTCAAACTTTTATTGAAAAAATAATTTTATAATGTAGAGTTTTTATAGTTGATGATGACATTTTTATTGTGTGATCATCTGATGTTTAATTTTAAAATTATCATGAGGCCAATTTCAATTATTTTATGATGAAAAATGTTTAATAAACAGGTCATATGATTTTAAATATTTGTATATCTACATATCAAAACATTTATCTACTTAACTTTTTCTACTTAATAAATAGCTCAAGTTAAACAGATAATTCAATGATAATTGACTGGAAGGTTATGATTATTCTCTTAATTGCTCAAAATCCTTTGCCAATTATAGGTGCTTTCTTTGTTGTTTTACTGGAATATTTTTAAAGGATATTATATAATGTTTTTTATTTGTTTATCAAGTTGTAGTTTTATATATTTAAATTGTTGTAATATGCAATTTATTTTTTTCAATGTCTGTAATTTAATAGCAATTCACATCAATGTAAAATCACAAATTTTTACAAAACATTCCATGCTATTTATTCCCTCAGATTTTGTTTGTTACCTTGATTTGTATCTTGTTAATCGATATATACAAGATTTGAACAATGTCATCAGGAAACGACTGTAAATATACATGTATATATATTTGTATTCAAACCTTGATATGTGTTAGATATATCTCCATGTAAGCAGTTTATAATCTTTTTACATAACTTTTATCAATTTATTATATGTTAATAATTGTCTCATCTTTTATGGATGTTCCTGGCATTCATTGTGTAATGACCTCAGGTATGTGAGCGAAAATTGTTGAACAAACACAATTTTCTGCTTGATTAATCATTAAAGATGTCAAAAATTAAATGCATTAAAAAACATGCCATTCTGACTATTATGCAAATATATGAATGGACATGATATCTTAAAATTAAGGAAACTATTTTTTTTCCAATTTTTTGGGTAAAGATTGCATGAAATGCAATCAAAACCCTATGGTACTGACTTGATATCTAAATCTTCCAAGGTTTATCACTTACCTTTGAGATACACAAAATATAGTGCATTGATCATAACATTCTGTAGTAGAGAATTGATAAGAAGTAGTGGATTCGTAAACGATAATCAACGAGCGACTAACCCATTTCTAGTAAACGACTGTCTGTTTTACGTTTTGACAATGAATCAACGATATTTCATAAAAATAGTTTCGTATTTTGTCTTTTTTATTCTATAATAGCTGGAAATGATTATATCCACACGGTTCGCATCTATATTTAGACATTTGACAAGTTAACATAAGTTTAAGATAACTCAAATGGGGTGTTAGCTCCCCTTTTTATACGACCGCAAAAATTAAAATTTTTTTGGTCGTATATTGGTATGACGTTGGCGTCGTCGTTGTTGACGTCGCTGCATCGTCCGAAGACACATTGGTTTTCACACTCTAACTTTAGTTTAAGTGAATGGATCTCCATGAAATTTTACCACAAGGTTCAATACCACAAAAGGAAGGTTGGGATTGATTTTGGGGGTTATGGTACCAACAGTTAAGGAATTAGGGGCCAAAAAGGGGCCAAAATAAGCATTTTTGTAACTTCCAGACAATAACTTGTGTGTAAGTGTATGGATCTCTCTGACATTGTATCACAAGGTTCCATATCACAAAGGGAAGGCTGTAATTGATTTTGGGGGTAATTGCCTCAAAATTTTAGGAATTAGGGGCCAAAAAAGGGGCAAAAAACAAGCATTTTTCTAGTTTCATGACAATAACTTGTGTGTAAGTGTTTGGATATTTCTGAAATTGTACTACAAGGTTCCATATCACAAAGGGAAAGCTGGAATTGAGTTTGGGGGTATTTGCCCGAAACGTTTAGGAATTGGGGGCCAAAAATAAGCATTTTTCTAGTTTCCAGACAATAACTTGTGTTCAAGTGTATGAATCTCTCTGAAATTGTACTGCAAGATACCATACCACAAAGGGAAGGCTTGGATTGAGTTTGGGGGTGATGAATCATAAGGGGGTTCTAAAAATTTGGGGGGGGGGGGTTTCTTTTTTTTTCTTTTTTTCCTTTTTTTTTCTTTTAAAATTTTCCATTTTAAGTTGGTTATTTCTGATTTATATTTAAAAGCAAATAATAATGATATGGTAGGAGATACACACCAAACAGGATGTGTAAATTATTATATAATAAGTATTGTGCAATAGCAAGAAATTTTCAATTGCACAGTATTGCACAATAGCAAGAAATCTTCAATTGCACAGTATTGCGCAATAGCAAGAAATCTTCAATTGCACAGTATTGCGCAATAGCAAGAAATATCCAATAGCACAATATTGCGCAATAGCAAGAAATTGTCAATTGTACAGTATTGCACAATAGCAAGAAATATTCAATTGCACAGTATTGTGCAAAAGAAGATACTTCGTATAAATTGCTTATTTCTTGATCAATTTCAATGGGGTTTTATTCTTGAATTCTTGGGGTTCTTTAATATGCTGAATCTAACCGTGTATTAGGTTTTTGGATTTTAGGCCCCGTTTTTAAATTGGTCCACATTGAGGTCCAAAGGGTCCAAAATTTAACTTTGTTTGATTTCATCAAAAATTGAATTATTGGGGTAATTTGATATGCCAAATCTAACCGTGTATTTAGATTCTTAATTTTTGGTTCCGTTTTCAAATTGGTCTACATTAAGGTCCAAAGGGTCCAAAATTAAACTTAGTTTGATTTTAACAAAAATTGAATTTTTAGGGTTCTTTGATATGCTGAATCTAAACATGTATTTAGATTTTTTATTATGGGCCCAGTTTTCAAGTTGGTTCAAATCGGGGTCCAAAATTAAACTTTGTTTGATTTCAACAAAAATTGAATATATGGGGTTCTTTGATATGCTGAATCTAACCATGTATTTAGATTTTTGATTTTTGGGCCCCATTATCAACTTTGTCCACATTGAGGTCAAAAGGGTCCAAAATTAAACTTTGTTTGATTTCATCAAAAATTGAATTCTTGGGGTTCTTTGATATGCTGAATCTAACCATGTATTTAGATTTTGGATATTGGACCATAATAGGTGAATGTCCAATTTAAAATTTTTAAGTTCTTAGACCACATTCATTGTGTGTCAGAAACCTATGCTGTGTCAAATATTTAATCACAATCCAAATTCAGAGCTGTATCAAGCTTGAATGTTGTGTCCATACTTGCCCAACTGTTCAGGGTTCGACCTCTGCGGTCGTATCAAGCTGCGCCCTGCGGAGCATTTTATTAACACCAGATTTAATTTTTGTATATACATATTTCATTTAATGTTTAATCATTACAAATTATTCAAATTGAATAGATTTTGGTATATTTAATTATTCTAAAGGACATATATTAATATACTGAATTTATTTATCTTGTTTTGAAAAGTTAAAAAATTTTAATTACCAAAATTTATATATATAATATTTAGCAACATGATTTGGTATAATACCGACTGTGCAAGGGCTGTATAGCTAGTCAAGGGTTGTTAAAAACTTCCATAGATATTGGTATAATGAAGACTAAACACCGTTAAGCCGTTCTTAATCAAATAAATATTATTAGCATAGATGCCAGAAATCTGCCGTTTCATAATGCTCAAATTCATGTTGCTTTCCTAAAGTATTAAAATTATGTGCTTACGATTTAAATTGAACAATTATATTTAAATTTTGTTTAAACTGTTTCCGTTTCATTAAGTTAAGATTATTTTAACGTTATTACATTTGGCATATATCGTTCACCGGTCAATAAACTAGTTTTATCTGTGGTACGCATTCTGAATCCCCATCATAATTGCTCTTGCTACGGATGTACAATGAATAATTATGTTGATTTCATAAGCTTACCATCAAGCTGTTCATAGACGTGATCGTCTAGTCGTTGGTAATGAATGTCATAACGGTGATATTAACAGTGCAAAGTTCGAACCTTGTACCCGGAATGAAATTTTTTCATTGTAATTTTTTTCTGGACCAAAATATTGTTTTAATCCTAGAACATGTAGAAGTATTATATATTTCATTTTCATATAATGGCGATGATTTTGTTTCTGTTTTTACTGTCAAAGAAGTAGTTTTAACCCATTTCTTTAAAAAAAAAAAATAACACCCAAAATAAAACAAATTCAATAAACATGAACAAACCAAGATATATATAATTCATTAGATTACAAAGGCGAATTATCAATGAGACAGAAATACAGTTAAATGACATGTATTGACAATTAAGCGCTTTAAGAGTACTATTCATTTAATGATTGATGTCAGCCATCGTGGTCTAGTGGTATCATGCATAGACTGAAGACTCTATACGCGCGATTCGAATCCTACACATGCTACTCGTTTTTGAGAGGATAAAAGATCGTAAGTTAAAAGTTTAGAGTTATAATATAAGTTCTCTTAGGTTAATACTATGGTCAGTGGATTCTTGAAAAATAATCTACAGTAAGAACAATAGACTGACGTCAGAGAAATGGGTTAAATACATCCTATCCATGAACATTTCCAGAAATTTATCAATGTAATATATGCTCAGATATTCAAGTCACAAAATTATGTTATACTTGTCAAGAAAATTACATAACTTTCGCAAGGTGCAGGAATCTAATATCTATTCTAAAAATATAAATGATGTCATTGTTAAAGTCATCTTTAAAAATTGGAGTTATCTTCCTTTGTCCAGAATTGTAATTGAATCAACTACAACCTGCTAGTGCTTTATACATACAATGCAATATTTAATTTTACTTCCCGCTGATAAATTAAAGCAATCTTTACCTTTCAGTGCTTACAAGCACTTTGATTTGTACTTTGTACCTCGACACATCTGGGTTAAATTATAATCACTTTTCTGTCAGTGGTTTCAAATATGCTCAGATTAATTAAGATTTCAAAATAATTGAGTCAGACTCTTTAAAGTTAAATATACATTGAAAAAAAACTGCAATTTTACATAGACTGCAAAAATACCTTCACATATCTGAGGTTTTTTTTTACGACAACCAAGATAGACACAACAAAGTTTGACTGTATATAAATAGTTGGAAAATTGTTAAACAATATTTTTTTCTGCATAATGATAAAGGTATTAGCTTATTATAGTAACCTAATTTCTTATTTATAGTTGTATTTGATATTGTGTATTTGTACAATCAGATTGATGCAATCATATTTACTTTTATATTTTATTTGAGCTGTGGCAGATGAATTTCTCCTTAGCGTGTAAAGTGTATAGGATTCAATTTGACCTTGAAGGCCACAATCATCTGATGTGGTAACTACCTCCTACGCTGCTGAGTGTCATTTAACTTTAAAATTGTAACAATGATTTTGTTTCTAGGTCTAGAGGAAATAAATGTTTGGGTAAGATGTCTTTCCCTATTGCCTGTAGTTATTTGAGTGATAATTCACAACAGTTACAATTTTAAAGTTCAATGACACTCATTGGCGTAGGAGTAGACTGAAATTATCTGAAAGTGACATAACATCTATAGTCTTATAGTCGTGAAGTTTGTCAGGGGCCTCTTTCATTTTCATTTTTTATTTTCAATAAAAAAAAATTGCCAAAAAAGTAGTCTTGCCCCCAGCTCCTATGCCCCTGTTTCCACTGCTGCTATGCCCCTGTTTACACTGCTGCTACATAAGTGCAGACAAATTTTGTTATTTCTCTTGACTACATATAATCTACTTTGAATGAAAATAAAATTACTGGTGGATAAATTTTGCATGAAGGTTGATCTTGATGTGCCATAGCTCACTAGAAACCTATTATGTGCCATATAGAAATCTGTCTTCCATATCATTGATGGTGCTCACATGTTACTGCTTTTTATAGAACACTTTTTAAATTATTATGGTATTGGTACACCCCATTCATCTGATGTCATCATCTATTTACAAGATTGTCTGAGGATATAAAAATAATACATAGATTCTTATCTGACTTTTAAAATAATCATGGACTAGCAGTCATTGTTGATTTTATATTTTTGATTTTTGCGGTATTGACTTGAATGTTTTCCTAACTTAAATGGAACTGCCCAAGACAAGGCTATTTTTTAAGTTAACTAAGGTTGTTTTTAATAAGGAATATAATTACAGGTTATCATTTTATGTTGACCATATTTTATTTACCATTTGACAATCTGTCTATCAACATGACACACTACATTCCATTCTTGAAAATTTTAATTTTACAATTCCGATGTTTCATTGGATTTTAACTGAATTATAGCATTAAGCAGAGAATTATATTTTTGGAATAAGCAATTTTAATTAACAATGCTCAGGGAGAATGCTAGTCCATGTTCCAAACTATTAGTTCAGACAGTACAAAATTTCATTGTCTTGGTTATAAATATTACCTTCCAATAACTTGTTGGCATAGCATATATGCTATGTTTTGTCTTTGTTTATTAGGTTATGAGACCATGTTCACCAGATGTATATTTGTAATAAGAACTGTTCAGATTAAAGCTTGTTATCTTTTTAATACAACTCATCACATTATCATTCTTTAACTCATTACATTATTATTCTTTTTGAGCAGAGTTAAATTGTCTTATTACTGTTTGTCATTTGATTTCATAATCCAGATATATTTTTCTTGAGAGGAGAAAAATGTCTTTTGAATCCAAATATAGCTGGAAAATAAACACTTCAATAAATGCATCAATGTACATATGCTAAATATATTGATTGATTGATTGATTGGTGTTTAACGCCACTTTTTTTGAACTTCTTAAAGAGAACCACTGAATGGAATGAAACCAAACATGGCATGAATGTTCCTTATGAGGTGCTGACCAAGTGTTGTTACTTTGTAACGGATCCATCTTCCAAGATGGCCGCCAGCGGGGGACTTAGTTTAACATAGGACCCTATGGGAAATACATACAAATGTCTTCTTTTAGAGAACCACTGAATGGAATGAAACCAAACATGGCATGAATGTTTCTTATGAGGTGCTGACCGAGTGTTGTTACTTTGAAGCAGATCCATAATCCAAGATGGCCGCCA